ACTTGAGGTCTCTAACGAATGAGGCGAGGAGATATCCTTGCTTGTTTTCCTCCCTTTCAGCATACCCCCAAGGAGACAACGTTCTGGACACGGGGTTGAAGTGTGAGGATCACAAATACTCAATCAACCGTACGCAGTGTTGGAAGCCAATCCCATCCGCCGACAACACAACGAACTGGACGCTCGATTGGCAAGAGCCATATTCGTCCTGTGCAACTGAACTGAACTGAACTGAACTGAACTGAACTGAACTGAACTGAACTGCGTGCGACTGATTTGATTTTCAAGGTCGATGAGTAACGGTCGGGCGTGCGCTGCACTGGCGAGGTTGCTGAGGGATGGGTTTCAAGAATCGTCGACTAAAAACTCGTCTGTTCGCTTTCGACCAGTTGTAAGGGCCGTCGATAGAAAGTATGCCATAGCGTACGCACTTTCAATAGCAGAAAAATACTGTTGTACATGGTATATTACAATTTGTCGAGATTCGATTTTTTCAGCTTTGCAGACTGTGTCTCGTTCATCAGCTATTATCCCGAAGTATTCAAGAAGCTCGTCAAAGATCTGAAGGAGGACGATCAAGGTAAATCTAAAAAAATACCGTGACTTTATGAGTTAATGGTGGTGTTCAAATTTTTTTCCTCACTTGTAAGTAGTCTCCATTCACCTCGTTCACTGAAAACCTGATAATTATGGTAAAGTTAAAATTTGCGTTTCATATAGTTAATTTCTTAGTACCATCTCTGAATTCCTGTCATCACCGTATCAGTGGGCTGATACTAGTCTGGTTCCAGTTCCTTTCTGGACGCACAGGACTGTGAATCCTCTCTACCTGTCAAGAATAGAGTTCCATTGGTGATAGGCTCTCTAGATGAACTTCACCACTCCGATGTCACACTTCATTCTCTTATAGTATAGTGGGTTCAGTTCTTTGAGTCGTGGCGATTTCCCCGGTTGTTTTCAGTTCGGTTCACTTCGGTTCGGAGTCCAGGACCTGACGGCAAGATGTCAGGTTGTCCAGTTTTTGGCCCTGCCGGACTGCTTGATCTCCAAGTGATTATACTTTCCGACAGGGTTATCTTCCGGTTGTTGCTGTCCACAGGGGATAGTATGTTATCTAGTTTCGTTGCTGCTTTCCTGTTCTGTTTGGCCGGCGTCCGTCACGAGCCTACACGTACAATACTCAAAAAGTAGGTGATCAGTGCACTGGGAACAGGAGCATACTTAATTTTAACAACGCTAATGCAATTTCTCAGATCTGTCCCAGTTTGTCCTGTGCTCTATCAAACCTCAGCGTGAACTGTCAAAGTTTTAATTAACACTACTCTCGATATTTCATCCCAGTCAAACATGACCCTAACTGGAAAAACACTCTTGTTGTGGGTCTTTCTTCACCCTCAATCCGTGTCCTCTGAAGATTTACGTGCTTCTAAGAGTGAGCTCATTGTTATCAACAGTCTTCCATGCCCTTCACTACCTCCAACGTTTCATTCAGATAATCCCTTTTCCCCTAAGGTTGCTCCCCGTTATCTGTCTCATTCCCCCTCTCTCCTCCGGCGAGCCCAACGGTAATTGCGCCTTGGTTATCTCTGTCGCCGGTGAGATGTTGCCATTCTGCCACATTGAGGTGAAGATCCCACGCCATCGACCACGGAAACTATCGAAATTACGCTGTATCTTGTTGCCCGTTCCTGCCCCACTGAACTTGATATCCGCAAACTCGCAGCATGGATTTTCTAGCCCCTTTGACAGATCATCCAAAAACAGCATAGAAAACAGGACTGAAGCACCCAGCCTTGGGGCATCCCACACAGCTTCATTTTTTTTACAACCATCAACCGTGCACTGTCGTGTACCGGTTTTGGACAGTCTTTTGGCTGCCCATTTCAATAAAAGAGCGGAATGAAGATTGGAATATTGAGAGTAAATTCAGGCGGAAGATAGAATTCGTTTGGCCTAAGGTTGCAAAAATAGTGGGTAACTGCATGAACGATACTGTTTGCGACACCTTGCCTGCATCCCACTCATCAATTTTACTTCCAATGACAGGTCTTCCTTTCTGCCATCCCGCTGTCCGTTTAATTCGTGATGCTATCCTGAGTGCTTTCGGTCTGCTGGCAAGCTGTCTTAGGGTTACTGAACCACAGGCTATTTTACGTTTAGATAGCATCCTTTCACTTGCTCCTCTGTTCAACCGTCTCGTTACCTTGTCGTTTATCAACTGTCACATATTACCCTCTTGAGCGCTATAAATTTGGTATTTAACCCCGACTAGAGGTAATTTACACCAGCAATCGCATCACACCAATACTTAAGGACCTGACCCAGGAAAANAGCCACCTCTTAATTTTCTATTTTAACGTCTGGCTACTTGGTGCGTTTTTTTGTTTCTCCGGGGAGGCTCCTCTGCCTTTTAACTTTTCCATTGCTAAAGAAGCTTGATAGACCACGTAAACTACTTCATCAGCTGGTGACCCTCCATGCTCGTATGGGGAGTTTCCTGACGAAGTTTTAAGGGTGGATCCCAGAGAGCCATCCGGTTTCAAATGTCTTCATAAAATCTATCCGGATCTGTCTTGTATCCAGCGAAAATGAATGGAATTTAGGGAGTCATTCCGGGTAGGCTTTGCTCTGTAACCCCTCCACCATTATTGTGGTCAGTTTCCACTTTCTCAGGACAGATAGCATGCTTTCCGTGCAAATGTGCTCAGGCCTAGGTGTTTTTTCTCGATAGTGCTCCTCTATTGCAATTTAAAAAGATCAGGGTTTCCGGGTTTCTACAACTGACGACGGACCTACGCCGAAAAAATCATCTTGCGTTATGGGATGTGATTTCAAACTGTTCGCTCCATTTGGAATCAACTGTCACGATTATTCCGATATCCTTGACTGTTTTTACCTTCGCTACTTCGGAATTTCCCCAAATTTCAAATAGATTATAACAGATGATTCCCAGAAAGCAGTTCACTTGCATTTAGGTCTAAGTTTCACTTCTGTGACCGTTCTTTCATGTGTTGAATGACTTCTAGGTGTACTCTTTCACTTGATTAAGCTACCTCTCTATCTTCTGTGGAGGTGGGGCGCGGCGTTTGCATGAACACTTAGACTGTGTACTCTGCGTGTTGAACATAGAGGTTCTTTTTCTTTACCTCCCTCCAAGTAGGCCCAATCCCCCTCCACCTTGTGCTTTATCACTTGATTTGTGTACATTGTGAGTTTGGCAGCGATCAGTGAAGCTCGCTTCTCTGTATCTCGCTGTACGATGATGACAATGCTGTATAATATCCGAGTTCCACGAACCAATCTCTGAACGTTCACCGAGGGACGTCGGTGACCAAATGCAGATATCTGATGGACTTGGTGACCTCGACCAAATAAGATTCGAATAATGCTCTGCGGGTTGAACATGAAACCAAGGCCGGTCGTAATACACATCCAGTTTGTGTACTGGCTTACTTGACGGCTACAGACAACTTGAGTACTGTACCGGATTGAGGTCAGGTAATAGAATAACCCACTGAAACAAACCTCCTAATGCAGGCAAATAAAACACAAGTGTCACTTCATTTTTGTTACACTCATTTCTTGATTTATGACATTGAATTATCGGTATATCTGAGCCCGGCCATTTCACCAGTTGATTTTAGTTGTCCTTTAAAATCTCTCCAATAACAATGATTTGTTCATATTTAAAATTGACAAATAGGTTTTTTATTGATCTTCATTTCAGCCGTTTTGGATTACAACACAGTTCATTCGATTAGCCTGGATTGCGCGAAGCATGCAGTTGAATTATGTGTTGCCGCTGGCCTGCCAATAAACAGTGTTACAATCCACCCTTCTTGGAATTCCTTGGGAATTTCTTTGGACGCAGTAAGCATAGTGAATCATCGTCGCCGTCAAGAAGATCGGTGGTTCGCTTCAGCTGACTTGCTCAGCTATTTACCTCGAAACGAATCTGACGTGAGTAATAACCCGAATTCGTTATATACCCCAGTTTCTTTGAACGACGGTTAGTGCGTGTTTTTATTTATAAGCACTCTTGAAGTGTAACTAATGAATTTAACCCCAGGGTTAATAAAAGGATCTGATGTAAACGCACTACCCTTGTTCTGTCTCTCTTGAGCAAATGTCTAGACATGTTTGTGTTCTATTAGCACGTTTAGGTATTTTCTAAAATCATTTCTTTGATCGTCCGCGGTTGTTTGTGTGGAATTCCTGGGGTTAAGCAGGACTGAATGCTACCAGGCGCGTCCCCGCGATGTGGATAGAGAGATACCTTCATCGAAAAGGGTTAGTTGTGAATAAGTTGTGGCATACCACAACAAATAAGCAGACGCGAACAAACAGCGGTGGCACTACCAGAGTGTGGTGGGTTTCAGGCTAGTCATCTGTCTCCTGTTTAAAAACCACATAAGCCCAGTGACGGCGTTTTGGCAACGGCCGATGTGACTGGCCTTTTAAAACTAAAGCCCATTGACCCCCTCACTTCTGAGGCGAGGGATTACTTCCTGCTGTCTTGTAGTTCTTATTTGGTTGTGCAAAGACTAGAGGTGCGCTCTCAAAATGAAAAACGCCGAGCGACGCTGGGGACGTCCCTCGTACCAATCTCCCAAGGAACTCTGTGATCATGATCGTGTCTGATGATCGTCTTTCCAAGGAGCCAGCCGCCGTTAAGTATAAAAGTAGATTTTATGTGAGAGTGAGGATTAGTCCAACACCCCGTTTTGATCATAAAAATCTTTGTGTTCTATACGTCCATAGTATGTGAGTGGCAGTTTTGTAAACGACGGTGTTAATTTTTGTTTTTCTAGCTGGGGCAGTATAACTCGATTTTCAGTTGTTCGTCGTGCTTGGCAGTTGTATTGCAAACGTTCTACCACCAATCGAGGTGAAATTCACAATACAGTAACTGCAATTACTGCAATACGATTGCCGAGCTTGGCGAACAAGTGAACATCTGGTATGGGAAATGGCTAGTTTCCAATTCCGAGCTGGTAAAACTAAAATCGTTTGACCAAATAAGTCAGATATATGGGAATCGCCGTCTTTATGGTGTTCACTATCGTGTTTCGGTTGGCCTTATGATTTGGATACGATGACATCAAGTCTGTTATATTGGCCTATATCACTTGTTAGTAGGTATGAGGAAAGTAGTCATGTTTGTATTTTTATTTTTGAATTTTGCGTTCAGTTTGCCTGTTCCAATAATCGATTTTAAAATCCCCGCAACTAATACCCTCACTTGTTATGCTGTACGTCTCATTGATGTGGGATTAAAGCCCCACTTTTATTAGTTGCATAACTGTATTGCACCAGTTATGTTCACTCCTTGTTCACATTATACACTTGTGTTTACTCTGCTTACATTTCAACCACCAACTTTGGTAGTAGACAGCTTTGCTGTCGTCAGTTCAATACCAGGCCTAAGCTAATGGACCCCTATGTGGTTCGCCACTCCATGTCCTGGGGTTTAGGTTACCGGTTTCCATCATGGAACAGCAGATCCTTGTGATTATGGGTTCCGTCCCGTCTGCTGTTCATCATACTAAAAAAATTTGCAATAAAAAAACCGTAAGCTAAGTATGATTTACTATATTTTACTGTTCGATTCTAACCACGATAGTGGTAAACGTTGGGCATCGATGTCCCATTCTAACAAAAGTTACTGCTAAGGTTTGTAATTATGATTTCATTTCATACACATCTGAGCCCCCACTGTGTACTGAACAAATCACGGTACAATAATCTTTATAAAAGATTCCATAATCTGCTTGTGGGCGGGATACTACCAGGTTGCCCAGGCACGTTAATTTTCTTGAGAAATTCACAGACCGTCACCTTCGGCTATCCAGACCCTGACCCGCAAATCGGCGGNCGCGTTCCATTGGGGACCGGTGCCCAGTTTGTCGTATCATCCACCTTTGTGGACGGAGCAAACGTCCAAGATGACTAATGCACTTCAATACCTAATCTAGGGCTGGCTGGCTTAGACGCCAGCTCACCAAGTGTTTGAGGAATGATCGCGAGAAATGGTGGGTAGGGAAGTGTAGAGAGATGGAGAAGATTGCGTTTATTGGTAATAGCCGCAACCTTTTCCGTTTACTTAGGAGTACAAGACCAAGGAAAGTAGGTGTGAGATAATGAGGCAGTCTGACGGCACACTAATTCAAACGCGTGAGCGGGTTAGTAACTTGAAAGTAAGTCGTTGGGTGTTTAGGAATGCATTGAACAAGAACTCACTATCTCATCGAATCCAGCTCAGTAGGCTCCGTTGGTTAGGACACGTTTTGCGTATGTCCGACGGTCGCCTGCCGCAGCGCGCCTTGTTTTCAGTGGCTGTTACAGGCTGGAGAAAGCCACGTGGAGGCCAGCAGATGACGTGGAGACGAGGCATCAAGAAATACACAGAGCCGTTAAGTAGAGTAGTTGTCTCTCGTCTTCCGGGTTGGGGTCCAAAAGACTCCGAAACCGCATGATTGGAGACACTGAAGGTCATTGCTGCGAACCGACAGCAATGGTGATTTTGCTGTCACTTCTTATCGGACCAGAATGCTTGAAATAGTATTTATGGACAGTTGGGCTGTGTGCTCTGTGTTGACCATAGAGGTTCACTTTCTTTTCCCGTTGCTAAAAATAGGCCCAATCCATGTCCTTACACATTCTCACTTATCTTGTATGCATTATGAGTTTGGCAGAGATCAGTGAAGTTCGCTTCACTGTATTACGCTGTACAATGATGATGTTGATCCTCTTGCGAGGATTTTTTTAAATTTTTTATTGCACATCCACGTGTGATAAACAGCAGACGGAGTAAACCCCATGGTCACGAGGACCTGCTGTTCAGTGATAGAAATCGGTAACCTATGCCCCGAGTGGTGAACCACATAAGGCGCCGATAGCGGTATCGATTTACTCCCAGGTGGCAGACTGATCTAGAGGATTCAGACGATATTGTGCTACTAAGTGAAGATCCAGATAATTTGCAAGTTCTTCCGGATAGTTTGAATGCCGGCGTAGCCGTGTTCGGCATGCGTTTTACACCTTCACAGAGTAAAATGTTGCTCCAAGATTGGGTTGGTCCAGCGCCCGGTCTCACCCTAACTAGGGAAGTAGTGGAGGAAGTAGACAAATTTCGTTATCTGGGCAGCTATACCTCACCTGGCGGACGCATCACAGATGAAGTGTCGGTGCGTATACAAAAGGCTTGGTTGGCATTTGCCAACTTGAGACATCTGTGGCGCCGTCGCGACATCCGGCTGTCTATGAAGGGTCGAGTATATACTGCAACAGTTCGACCAGTACTCTACGGTGCAGAGACTTCGCCACTACGGGAACAGGATGATAATAGATTATCGGTGTTCGAACCCCGCTGTTTACGTCGCATTGCACGATTCGGGTGGGGTAACCGGATTTGCAATGCTGAGGTTAGGCGTAGAGTTTTAGGCAGCCGCGGTCGTCGACTGGTGCAACTGATCGACCTGCATAGATTACGCTGGTTGGAACATGTGCTACGCATGTCATCAAATAAATTTGCCACGGCGAGCGATGTTTGCCGAGGCAGGTAGCGGTTGGAAGAGTCAAAGGTGGTCAAACGAAGATCTGGCGTGAGGGCATGAAAACCCTAACCAGGAGATTGGGTCACATAGGTCCCGTTGGGCTCCCTGGATGGGGACCTCGGGATGGTCGTACCCGATGGTAAGAGACACAGTGATATAGCTGGGTGTCGTAAACAGTGGCGTTCGTGCATCTTCTCAATTTCTCTGTATCATTAATCCACTAAACTTTTCAATTTTCTCTTCGATCCTACTTTCAACCTTTCCTGTCGTTCTTCTGATGTTCATCCAAATGGGCAGCCGAAAGATAGCAACCAAAACCGGCGCACGGAAATGCATGGTTAACGGTTGTACTAACTGAAACCGAAACATCGACCAAAAGGGGAAGCACAACATCCTGACACTTAGAGGCATTCAATGAGAGGGAACAGAACAAGAACCAAGTAACAACGTCGTTTGGCTTGCTTTGAATTTCTGAAGCATCTTCAGGGGTGGATGCTTTGCAACATAATTAACGTCATCTGCGTATTTACAGCCAATGAGTGCAAGAGGAATGGGAAATTAAAAAAAAATGGGGAAAATATTGCACCTTGCAGAACACCAGAACAAACTAGGCGAGCAGAAGACATTCTGCCGTTGAGGCACGTATACTTCCTTCTATTTGTGAAATAATCGCAGATTGGATTAACACCACTTTCAGCAATACTAATCCATCAAGGCTGCCAAAAGCGTTTTTGTGTTATAGAACATCATTCTAACGGTCTTACTTTTCTTATCTAGTGCCGAAGTTATTGAATGAACAAGGTATGCAACGGCATCAAATGCTGAGCGCGAAGAGCGATATGCAAATTGAAGTATGTCGTCTTCCTCAGACTCAGTGACAACCCACGGTAACAAACATCTCTCAAATAATTTGAGCGTGACTGACGTGCAGGCGATGGGACGATACTTCTCAGGTTCCTTTTTTGGAACGGGAGTTATCTTGGCCAGTCACCAGATATCATCGATTTTTCCGCTTATCAGACAGTCATTGTATATTTTAGACAATGGGACTGAAAGTGTCCGAACATACCTTGAGTACTACGGGTGATAGTTCATCCGGACCCGATGCTTTATTCATCTTTGTTTTCAGTAGCTGTTTCAGGACTGTGACGGGTTCACTATTTGGTGTTGGCATAGAGCTGACTAAGTCTGGCAGGGCAGTGCATTGTGAAACTGAACTAAACTCAGCATTTAGTCTTTCAACGTCGACAGTTTCCTTTTTGTGTTCATTGCTGCTGCCACACAGTCAGTTGATAGCCCTCCACATGCCACGACAACTAGTTTCCCAGGATAGTGTCGATGTACAATTCGTTTCACCGATTTATTTCAGCGTTGATCGAAATTGTTAGCCGCTTGACATGGATTCTTTAGCCTTGTTTATAGGCTTGTTCCTTCCGCCTGCGTAGCTGTTTGAGTAGCGGTGATGAATATCTGTCTTTATGGATAAAGACCGTTTCTAGTGGGCAACACCGGTTAAAACATAAATTAAGGTAGTCCGTAACATGTTCACAGAATGGTTCTGATCGAGAAACACTGAAAAATCTGTGGTGGCAATCATAGATCTTAGCCTTTCTAGGTTCTCTGATGAACAACTTCTTTGACTCAGTATCTTGGATGGCCTTCTTAAAAATGTATATCGGTTAGTTTTGCTGTATACAGTGGGACATACTTTTAAGATACAATGATCTGAACTACTCAGGGGAGCACGTTTATGGACTTCAAAAAATTGCGGTGTTTGTAAAAACGAAATCAAGTTGTGAATTCAGTCTGGTAGGAAAATGTACCAAATTTTGTAGACCCAGTGTGGTGAAGAATGTTACATCATGTCTGTTGAAATCACTAACAAATATACACAAAGAGTCACTTGTTTTTGATATTATGAGGGTAGAAAAAATATCAGAAAAGCTATTTATGTCAGCCACTGATATTGTGGATGACAGGTAAAAGTTTCCAAGACGTATGGAGTGAAACCTACTTAAAAAGGAGGCTTACATTCGATGACATGACAACTGATTTTATCCGTTGAGTATTCGTAGATGACAGCGGTTGATTTACTCCAGTTGTCGCTAACGTAACTTGCAACACCGCCTCGTTTACGGACACTCGTGGGACGGTCAACCCGATACAATTTCACTAGGGAAATCCCTCGTGCAGCCACGATTCCTAAAGCATAATTCCCAGGTTTTTGTACTCCTTTTTCTTTGTGATGTCTACTACCTCGACTTTTCCCAACAGAGAACGAAAATTGCGTATTAAAATGAGAGGCATTTACACTTGACTGGTGCTGCACTGTCTGACTGCCACTTAACAACCTAATCGATGTTTTCTCCTTCTGCCGTTTTGTGTTTTTATCATCCACTTGAACTTATTTATCACATTGTTGGAATATCTCACAAAAGGCGCAGTTCGCGCGATAAAGATTTCATCAACGCGCTCGTGTAGGATAGCATTAGGTGTCCTTGAAATGATGTCCTTGATAACGATGCGGTTTGATGACAAATAAATCCACAGAAGTGCACATATGATTTTCGAGATAAATGGCGCGGCCAAATTTAAAGGCCTCGCGTATTAAGCAAAACAGTTTGAAAACACGTATACTCACAGTTTTACTATGTAATCTGTGTTTATCATAGGGATTCATTTCTTATTATCCCTCTCGAAATGGATCCACTCCGCTGTCTACCTCACACGCTCGTACTTTGCATGCACTAGGACTTTGGAAGCAATCAGCAAAGTTCGCTTCACTGCATCCCGCTATTCTATGGTAATAATTTTTTTCAATTTAATCTCTAGGTAATTGACCGTGTATACATGAACATTGCTTAACCAATGTGATAGTGGATGCTGTACTTGTTCATATCACCGTAGCAGACATCTAGCGCATGATTGCAGGCCTATTTAAAAGCCGGTTTGCCAGGAAGAAACACCTCGTCTCACGCGTATGGTAGTGTTATATTGAACCACGTCCACGGAACCTGTTGTTTTTGTGAACCATTTAATTCTGTACTAACACACAAAATATGTTAATAATAATTATACTAGTATCAATATCTTGCTCTACCACAACCTTTTCAGAGCTCTCCTCTCCCAAAAGATCATCCATCTATTTCTGCAATTGGCGTTTTCGATGGACATAATGGTCCCGAGGCGGCTGAGCATTGTTCACATTTGGCTCCCTACTACCTAAGCATTGGACTCAAAAAGCGACTATGTGGTCCAATCTCTGTCACGGACTTGTTGTCCGAGGTCATCTATCTCTTGAACGAGGCGGTCAACGAAGGTCGTGCGAAGAGAGTAAGCGTGTAATCCTGTCCTTGCTGTTGTAAACAACTTCCCACTGCATATGCATTCACCAAGTGCGATTAACCACATCTTTCTAGAACTGCGGAGTCATCTAGCTTTGAGATTTCACATCCCGTTCACTTATCCGAATTGGAACAGAAACTGAGGTGCCCCCGTTTTAATTGATACCCCGTAACATGAATTTTCCTTCATCAATTTGGTCTATTTGTTGTGACCACTGTGAAAAAAGAAAACCACAATACACAAATAAACCAATTAAATATCCGACCAACTGGACGTTTCCAATCGAACGAACTAATTGGTCTAAAATTGATTGAGCCATTCGCACAACGTGATGACCGTCGACTGCGTAACTCAGGGTTATGGGTTTGAAGTTCCAACCTAAATGTTCGCAGTTCGAGTCCTGACGGGGACAGAAAGTGCGCACTGCTGACGAGTCTCAAACAGGACGAAACAACTGTCTAGTGCTCTTTTTCGGATATAACAAACGTTTGCATTGCATGTAAATGCACGAAATTGTGAGGGATTAACGATCTCCCAAGGAGTGAAAACCACACCCAAGAACATCAACAGTGCCTGATGCCCCTTAACGATCGAATTGGCTAATCCAAGCTTGATACGCTAAAACTAATTGGTCAGTTTTCTCCCATTATTCTGTAGAACTAAGCATTATTGCCGCCTACGCAAGCTTACGCGTGATGAGCAATAAATACTGAGGCTTATTGTTGTGGATGGACTACCATGCGTTATCCCATGAGCTAGCTGGCAAGTGGTTTGAACGATGTAGGAACCACACGTGGCCGAGAACTTTCTACCTCCTGATAAATATTGTTTGGATACTACATGTCATATTCTCCGCCGTTGGATTTCCTAGTGGACATCATCCAGAGTAATTTATTTGACCTGAAAATGTTGTTGGATAAGATTTCACCTGAAAGCAATGGGTTCCACCAGGTGTCCGGTCGAGTCATGTTCTAATTCAACTCTAGTTGCATCTAGTTGCACCCCGACAATCCAAATTTATACATCGACGTGGTAATCTTTGGCTAATTTAGATCAATCAATTTATTTTTTTTTTTCAAGACAGTTATTGCTTTTGTCTGCTTTAAAAATCGAATAATTTTGTAGACTATCTGACGCCTTGGTTATCTGGTTCTGAGCCTCTAGCATACGTGTCATACTTTTCATATAGTTGATCAAGTCGAACACGTTAATCGGTTTTTATCCANCTATCACCGACGTGCTTGGGACCCTATGGTTCAATGTTTGATCTCCACCGCCGCCACTCAACATCGGTGGTAGGCATCTTTGCTATCGTCCGGTTCAAGGCCACACATAAACTAGCAGGACCTTATGTGGTTTGTCACTTCAAGTCCTGGTACTTATATAGGTAATCGGTTTTTATCACCGGACAGCAGGTTTTAGTGACTGTAGTGTCCGCCCCGTTTGCTATTCATCACACTAAGGTGTGTGGTAAGAAACATCAGACTGTGATCTCTTGGCTTTGTTTGGTCTTGGTCGATGAGAATTCCAGTGGTGGACAATGTTCGAGGTAAGGTTTACTCTTCACTTTATCCTTCTAAAACAGCAAGAGTCTGTGATATTGGTCTCTTGAACAAGCCCCGGGGTTGATCTTCCAATAGGGAACCATCGTTAAACTTTTATATGGTACTCAAAGAAGTAGCGCAAAGAAAATCCACGAAAATGTAGCTCGTCATCATCACCATTTATGCCTTTATGCCTTCAGTTTCTATCCCGAGGCACTGATTTGTTCATTGATATCGTTGTTTTTCATTGGTTTCATTTTGTTCCAGAGATTTGCCGATGTGGCGCCGTCGTGACATCCGGCTGTCTGTGAAGGGTCGAGTGTGTGCCGCGACAGTTCGACCAGTTCTGTTTTACGGCGCAAAACCTTGATCATTAAGGAAACAGGATAAAGATAGACTGTAGGTGTTTGGAAACCGCTGTATACGCAGGATTGCACAAATCTGGTGGGGCAGCCGTACGAGCAATGCTGAGGTTAGACGCAGAGTTTTAGGTAGCCGCGGTCGCTGACTGGAGCAAATGGTCGATCTCTGTAGATTACGTTGGCTGGGGCATGTTTTGCGCATGTCACCAGATAGGTTACCACGGCTAGCAATATTCGCCGAGGCAGGTAGCGCGTGGAAAAAGCCAAGGATGGTCAAGCTAAAACCTGATATGAGGGTACGAAAACCCTAGCCAGGAGATTAGGTCACTTAGGTCCCGTTAGGCTCCCTGATTGGGGACCTCGGGATGATGGTCACCGATGGTTAGCTACACTGAGTGATATGGCTGGGTGTCGTAAACAGTGGCGCTCGTGCATCCACTCATTATTCTCCTAACACCACTATATGAATTCTCCATCTTCCGCTTGAATTTGCTTTCAACATTTCGAGCTTCATTCCGCTCTGTTTTCCAAATGTGGCACCAAAAGACAACAACCAAAACCGGCTCACGAAAGTGTATGGCTAATGGTACTACAAACTAAACCGAACCGAACCTGTTACCGAGGCCCGGGAGGGAGTCGGAGGAGCAAACTCGAATCATTTTAGGGTGTGAATATGTGCACCAGCTGCTGATGACATTTCACAAGTCAATCAAACTGCTTGATCAACGGTGCGAAATGACAAGTGTGATACACTGAGCACGGATTTTGTTTAAAGCGTTCTCATAGCATCTGTTGTTTTTTGTTTTTGTTTGTAGGGTTCTTGTTAAAAAGGTACTCGTTGATTAAATTCGGTCTGAACGTTTCAAGTTCTTCGCGGAACTCACCACTCAACCCTCTTTTTCCTTCTGTCTGTTTACTTTCCTTCCAGTACTGGGCATCCGGCACAACAGGAACCATTTGTGTTTTCTATGGGGATCGTATATACACAGGGTGGGTTGGCGATTCTCAGGCCTGGCTAATCTACGCGGATGTAAACGATTTAGCGAAAGAAGACTCACCTAAAAAACAACCCAGTCCTGGTCATGCAGTACCGGTTTTGAGCGTGCCTAAGGTAACCCCACCACTCCAAGGAGATGAACAAGAGGTTAAAATAGACGAGTGTCCAGACGACGGAACAGATCCATTTTTGCTCAATGTGGAACCAACAATTAACCGAGAGCGGCGTGTATCTGCCGTACTCACTGGTCGCCCCCCGGCAGATGATTTGGCTGTTGCCCTCACAGATCGTATTCATCGCCCGGAATTCGCAGTAAGTTCTATTCGTGCAGTTCAACCCCTAGGCGTAAGAGTGCAGTTTCTCGAGCATGGTTGTCATGCTCAGGTGATCACACGCACACACACACACACCACTGGTTCTTCATTCCAAAACAAAGCCAAAATTCACACAGGTAATAGGACTTTTGATGACGAGTTTACACCAGAAACACCTACATATTTTTATACTGTGTACAGTGAAACAAATAAACAAAACACGTTTTTATTCGTGTTCTTCTGATTCTCTGTCGTTTCGTTCCCCTCTCCGAGGCCCGCCGGTTCCCATAACCGAACAAGTCCTTGAGAGTGTGTGGCTCACCCGTTCCGTCATTCATCACCTTCAGATATGTCATGAAAAGCGATGCGGCATTGTTTACACTATACGATTTCAGTTATCTTTTGATAAAAGGCGTTCTCTTACCTGTTCGGCGGAGCTGCACGTTACTACCTACATCTTTTAGTCGAGGAAAGCAGAATGGTTGCTAGGGTGACTAAATAAGTGGGCATTGCTTTACTCGAGAAGCGGTCGTAGACTATCAGTGGTGGTGCCCGAGGATGTTATTGTTTGTTGGTAATTGATATTGATGCGACAAGTCTGCAAATGAGACGCACTCTTCTGCGCGTTGTCGAAGGAAAACGGTCGAGCGGTACCGAGTTCATCAGTTTATTCTATATTCCCAAGATTCTGTATACAAACACCCACGAGGCTGTTTTATCCTGGCTTGTAGCGGTGGTGGTCTAGTGGTATGGTCGTCGAAATAACCACCTGGGGGGATCGGACTTCAAACCTCTACCATTGTCGCCTATCTTCCTATAATCCCCAGGCAACCAACCTTTGTATGGCCAGGGCCCCTTCCTGAAAGTTTAATATGCATTTCTCTAAGCAGTAAACAAAAAATAGATTGAAAACATTCATGTATGATATAAATCACACAAAAGGCAAAGTAAGGGAAAAGTTTACAGTTATTCCAAAACATGACTCTTGTCATGTGTGTACTTCCAATCAGGGATTAAAATTAAACAAATTTAGGTTTATGCATATCAACCTTCAATACAAAACCTGCATTGCTCACCTGGTTCTTGAGAGGTTTTTCATCTATCGCATTGTTTTGGATGGCTATTGTTTCTTTACTAATTTTTCGAATGATTTTGAATTTTTCAAATGGTGAAGTGTCTCACTGCGTCTTTGCCTGCCAGTGTTTCTGATACCATCAACTCCCTTGTTGCTTAGCTTCCTGTTGTTTGTTTTTTCTCCTCGGTGTCACTCGTGCCACGAGCAGTAAAGAGTAAAACGGGTACATGAACAATGCGAAACGTCGCATCCATTTCAGTGTTTTCTTCGGTGTGTTTGTATTGCTTTATCCTACCCCCACCAAACTGCCTGATACTACCACATAAAGAATTCAAAATGTTGCCCTCCGGTTTCATCATGAGAGCGTATCGTTTGGTGGCGATTTTTGATGGTAGGCAGCTTTACTGACACCCGGTTCAGTACTAAGAAACCTAACCTATCGGGGCCTTATGTGTGGCTCGCCCCTCCAAGTCCCGCGGGGCCATGGTTTATCGGTTTCCATCACTGAACAGCAGCAGGTCTTCGTGACTGTGGGATCCACCCCGTCTGCTGCTCATCACACAGTGGTGTGTAATAGAAAACACGAAGCAAGCATATTTTAAAAGGCTCCAAGTTTGCTCTCTCTTTCTCCCTCACGCAAATGATCACTGGGCTGTCATGGAATGCGCGTGATCTAGCACAATGATGACCATCTGACTGATTGACAGATCTGCCCGACCCCGGCCTCTCCCATTGTTAGTGCCAATCGCATTGTCATATTTCTCGCTTCGGTGTTTCGTTTTTTTGTTTTACTTTGTTTACTGTATGCCAAAATACTGGGCTTTGAAAGTGAAATAATTTCGGCTAGATTGTTATCTTTATCATAATACCAGTATCAGTACAAATTTCTCGAGCTGTATCTCAATTTCCGACCCCATGGTGCAATCCGTTTGTGCCTACGAATTTCACAACCACGTTCCATTCTAACCATGCTCTTTAGTGATTAAATAGTCTCCGTTTGCATTTAGAATTTACCTGGCAAAAACACATGGCATTTACATATTGGTGGTGACAATACAACCACTTGCCTGCCAGTTTGAATAAAGGCCCACCGATTGAACTTGTTATTCCGTCGTACGTATCCTATTCGTGGACGCTTGTTTAACCCTAATAAAATGGAAATGTGCGTTAGACTAGAGAGAGATCCATCTGGATCTGATTTATATTCACATTGCGTGAAATGCTTGTAATCATTCCCAATAGATTCTCATGTGGTTCGTTAATCAATCGATCAATGAATCAGTGAAATCAGCCAATCAATGAAACCATTAACTATCAGGGATGAATGATACTTGGAATAATCGCACAGCTTCAAGGTGTTCCGACCAGACCGTTTGCTTTTAATCGGACAATAAACCTCTGTCTGGTCCCTTTTTTGTTTCGCCTCACCATCGATCGCCCAACTCGTAGCAATTTTTGTGGATACCGTTTGTCTTCTGGCCACTGAGATTATT